GAAAGTCCGGGGGTTTGGCTGGAGGCGCCAGGTGGGCCAGCCTCTGCACAGGAGCAGACGAGCAGCAGCAGCAAGGGCTTGCCTGGACCTGCTGGGAGGGAGGTGTCCATTCCCCAGACCCTGGGGAGCGTCACCAGCTAGGCAGGGATCACAGCAACAGGCTTCTCACCACGGCCACCATCCTGCCGCCAGCCGGCAGGGCAAGACAAGCATTACCTTCCTAGAGAGGAAGCATCTTCCTTCTTGCCAAAAAGGGCAGCAGAAGCTTGGGATGACTGCCATACCCCCCAGGGCTGCCCTTTCTTCTCCTCCAGCTGCAGAACTGTTCCTCACAGAGCATGTCCCTGCTGCTGGAGAAAAGCCCTTTCGCAGAGCACTGGCACCCCAGAGAAGGGAGAGCCCAGAGCACAACGCAGAGCGCAGCAACCGAGGCTGGGAGCAGCAAGGACCTGCTGGCCCTTCCCTTGCCCTTACGCATCCCTCCTCAGTGGGAGTGGATCTCAGCACCGGCCTTGGGGCTGCAAGGGACAGCTGGGGGGAGCCCAGGATGACCGGACACACACGCAGCATCACCCGTGCTCAACGTGGCACAGGGATGGGACCGCTGTTCCTGCCCCAGGCACCCGAGAGCTCCAGCGGGAGAGGAGAGGAGGCTCCAAGTTCTCCAGTCCCCTCCGGCCCAGTGCTCGGCAGGGAGCATTCCCACGCTCGGCTCTTGTAAAAGATGACACGTGAACATATTCTATGAATATTCTATTCATTACTGAAATGCCAGTATGCAAACACAGGCTCTGGGATTAGCAACTACGCAGCCATGACACCCCAAGCGCCACGGCTGATCTGTTCCCACCACAGCCCCTCCAGGCAGCAGGACAGACCCACCACAGCTGTTGGCAGACGCTGCTTTGGTGTCGCGATACACCAAGCGATCAGCAGAATTCAGGTCACCTCCTCCCTCCATACCCACCATGGTTACATACCTGCCGAACTGCTGACACTTACCTTTCCAGTGCAAATTCTGCTGCAATTTTAGTCCAGAAAGCATAAAACCCCAGAACACAGCAAAGGAAAGACCCCCTCACAGTCTAGTTCAATTTTCTAGTGAACTCAGCAAAAACCTCCTCCCACAGTGAGAACAAACAGCTTCTAGCCAGAGTGATCCCTAACCCCTGCACCAGAACAAACCCAACGTGCCCCAGAGCTCAGGCTGGGCTGCCCAAGGGCAACAAGCTCGTTGTCGGGCCACAGTGGCCTCTCCCTGGCCCCCATCAGAGCTCCCGTGAAAAGCCGCTGTAGGAGAGAGTCTCCAGCCAGGGGCCTGGCCCCTTGCGGCTACCCGGGCTTGAGCCCCAAAGAGAGCAACACACAACTCTTCAACATTTTATTAATGATCAGCAACAAAAGTTTACAACAGAGAGGACAACAGAACTGGCATGGAAGGACAGTCCAGCACAGTGCAGGGAGCAGCCCAGGACATCCACCACAGCACCCTGGAATGTAAGAGGCAGAAAGGGGCTCAGCCCAGCACCCGTCCTCCTCAGGCCCTGCACCTCCCCGTGGGGGCACACGTGCTGCATGTCAGCCCTCAGAAAACAGCCGTGAAATTTCAGCTGACAAGGTCCCTCCCTCAGGGAGGTAACCCGTCAGGCACAAGGTGGACTCCAGCAGCAGCAGCAAGCAGGGCGCTGAGCAGCACTGGGTCCTGCCGCCTCGTGACGGGAAAAGCCTTTGGCAAAAGCGCCCAGAGTTCCCACGCCTCGTGTGGAGAAATCGCTCAACCTGCCAGGGACACCACAGAACCGAGGGTCCCTGTGCCACCAGCCACCCGCCCCTCTCAGCAGCTGCCGTGCTGCCCGTTCCTGGGGCAGCAGACGATTCGCCAGCACCAGTCACGGTGGAGAAAGGCTTTATCCAACCAAACCTGAAGTAGCTTTGGGTCTGGTATTTGTGCAGAGGCAGCAGCTGAGAAGAGGCAGCACGGCGAACCCAAGAGCACAGGGCCCGTCAGCACCTCCAGCAGCCGGCACACCGATGGCCCAGCGTCCCTAACCAAAAGCTCGCAGGAGGAACTGCGGGTGCCATGCCCCTTCCCCGGGAAGGCCGTTCTCGCCAGTCTGTCCAGCCACCCCCACCACCGAAGGGCTGCTCTGGAACACAGACTCCGTTCAGGAAAGCCAAACCTGGAGGGGCAGAGGGGGCCTGGCAGCTGCACCATTTCCCTCCTACTAAAAGCCAGAAATGGCAGAAGGTAAAAGCACATCAACATGTTAAAACATTAGTTACAATTAAAACATTTTTGTTTTCTTTTGTCAAATCTCCTCCTGGGATGGGGGCTGATTAACGGGGGAAAAACTAGGCAGCAGGATCCCAACTCGTTATGTCTGCATAATTAGTGCAGGAGGAGCTAGGACAGATGAGGGTAGGGCAGCACATCCTGCATGCCCGCAGCAGTGTCCCCATTCAGAGGTCCCCTCTCAAAGAGCTGTCTGCTCCTCAAAAGGGTGAGGCTGCAGCGCTCTGCGACCCACGCATCGGCTCTCTGCTGGCCTAGTGCTTCTCCTCTTCCAGTCTCTTCATGGCCTCCAACACAGCCAGTTCTTTTGCTTCCTTCTTCTGGTTCCTAGCTTCAAACTCCAGCCTGCATCAATCACAAAATGCCATGAGATTCTCATCCATCCGTATCTCTAGTAGACTAAAAGCACCTGGAGCAGGGAAGCACTGCCTTCTCCTACGCTGCTTTCTTCTGAGAGTACTTCAGAAACCTCACCAGTAACCCCCAGGCTCCTCTTTGAAAGCCAGCACCCAGAGCTTCCCACGGCTGTTACCACCACTCCAAAGTCCTAGGCTCCCACACTGGCCAAACACTACTTATTTCTCCCTCTGCGGAAGATGCTGCCCTGGGATAGACCACTTAGTGCCGTAATACCAAAATCAAATTTACCACTGACCTGAGCCAACGTCACTGAAGGTGAAGGTCTCAGGCCTAAAAGAGCAAAGCTCCAAAAGAAGCGACATGCTAAATCCCCAAGAATACAGCAAATAAATTTTATCATTAATAGAGGAGGAGGAAAAATAATAAAACATGCTGTGAAGCACATTCTGACATAGTAGAGCTTAGCTGTTCTTCTTCCCGTACAGTCTAGTACATTCACATTTAAACAGCCTGCCCAAGCTGTGGAAGTTGATGATTTCAGTTCACTGATTCTGTGCCTTTAGATAACCCCTTCTCTTCCTGTTTGATCCCATTAATTAGTCCTCAGACAAGCTGGATGAAACAGTATACGACAGAACTGGCGAATGAAGAAAGCCAACCTGTTCTTGATGATTCTTTGCACAATTAAATCTGTGGTGAGATTGCTGCCACTGTCCACCAGCTGGAAAATTCCACGTCTCTTCGGTTCCTGTGAACAAACACAGCAGACTCAGCTGTGAAAAACACGCAGGACCTCTGGGTTTACAGTTCAGTAGTGAAAGCTGAGCAGAAGTCATGTCAGGTCCTGTGGGCACCCAGCCAGGAACGACACAAAATGATCTCCTAGGAGGCAGAATAAATAACTGCTGAAAGCAAAGCTTCATGTATATGGAAGCTGAGCAAGGCTGCCCAGGACCGGCATAGAGCAAAGATTATAGGATTTCTCATTCTGCCATGAAGGCATCAGAAACAGGCAACACAAAACAGTGACTAAAAGAATAGAGCTGTTGTGAATGATTTACAGGCTCTGCTCCAAGTAGCTACTCTCAGGGGTGGATGAAACCCCACATCACCTGCCAAGGACTTGCTTGGGTAGTATCCTCTGCAATACAAATTCTCAACTCAGGAACATGAACAAAGCCATGCTGTATCTATCAAATGCTGACAAAGAAGCACAGACAACAGCAGCTACTAGTTTACCTCATATGGATCAGAACCATCCTTGTCTGGCACCACCTCAGTCATCCCATGACACACAAGTGCTACCTGGAGAAGGACACAAAGTCGCTGACAAGATCCAAAAGATGACAGGGACTTTCCCTGCCACTGCACTCACTGCAGCATAGCCTGGAGATCAGCAAAGCCACCCTCCTGTACCAGGCTTGGCAGTGCATCTGGAGCTCCCTGTAATCCTGCTGAGCGGGACCATCCCTCTTCTACAGCCCTGTGCTTTCCTGCACCATTTTAGCTCCCCGAACACATCGCACACCACCATCATCTTGTACGTCTATATGCAAAGACTCTCACCCTGAAGTGATCCAGCAGATCAGCAGTGACAGCGTAGGGGGCTCCAATCACCACTTCCGAGACATACTAGAAAAGAAACCAGGTAAAGAGTCCAGATTTGGCAAAAGGGGGGAAAAGAACCAAAACAGAGGCCAGCCTGCTGCCTGCTTCCTAAACAGACTTGAGCAGGTCATCTGGTTATAGAGTTAGGAACTCAAGTAAGGGAACAGGAAAGTGGGTTTAGCCGCCATTGCTTGTCCCGCAGCATCTTTTTGTCCCACTAAAGACTATGCTTTCTGATAGTGTGTATATAGTAAATCCAAAAGTTAATTGCTCAGAGCACACGTTTCTGGGCCTCCCCACCTTTCTTTCCCAGGAATTTTCTCCCCTGCTGCAAGGAGCAGAGAGTTTTCTACAAGAACACAGCTGCAGAGCAGAGCAGCACTGCAAGGCATCCTGCCTTTTTGCTGCCGGTGGAGCAGAGGTGGATGGGTTCAATAGCTCAGGTTAGCCAGGACAACCGAGGAGCCTCGTGATTCCTCCTGAGAGCACACCAGCACCTCTGGTAGCCTAAAGTGATCAGTCTTGTCTTTGCTTTCTCAATGCACATCAAAGAATTCATGCAAGATTGCTGCCTACAGGTGAACACCACGCAGCTCCAGGCAATTTCTGGAACAGCGCAGAGGCACCTACCCTACAGGCACTTACCCTACAGGCCAAGACACTGAGTGTTCTTTCATGGATGTTCATGATGGGATAGTTCTTCCCTTTGTAGCGATTTACTTCCTAAGGCAAAGCACCAGGCACAATTAGAAGAGAAACAAAGCAACCCCCTTTTCCTCTCACTGTCTCCCAACATGAAAATCCTGTATTGGCCAATACATCCCTTTCCTGTCTTCCAGAGCACAGCCTGCTTGTTTCAGAAAGAACAGGTGCCAAGCTGCTCTGTCTTTGGACAATGTTATATACGGACCTGATCAAAGTGCAGCCCAGCAATGATGTAGGGTTTCTCTGCCAGCTGGTGAACCTTCTCCAGGAAATCTACATGCCCAGTATCTGTAGACCTGTTTAAGGAATTGAAGCTAACATGGAAAATAAGGAAAGGAAGACAGAAACAGATGCACTGAAAAACCACAGTGGGAGACAGGAATCCCAAGGATTTTATTTTTGCACTACTTGTTGCCTATGTCCTAAGAACAGTTGCCTCCTTCCACAGGTTCTGGGCAAAAGCCAGATATCTTTTCAGCTCCACCTGACACGGACTCAACTTTGCCTCTGTCCAGAATTTCTACCTGTTTTGGCTGTTCTGGCACAATGCCTTAAAGACTGTCCCAGGGATGAAGCGTCTGCTCCAGATGCCCTGTGCAGTCACTTGGTCTATGACAGCCAGTCCTCAAGAGGAGCTAGAGTGTGATCACTAGAGTGTGGAGAGTTTCCAAATGTCTTCCTGAAATCTTCCAACAGCCACAAATCTCTCTAGAGAGGAGCTGTAGCTCCTTTCTCAGTGTCCTGTGACTAAGAAATTGCCAGCAAGAACTCCTGCCTCTTCCCTCACGTGCACACCTACAGAAAAGAAAAAAAAAAGAGGAAAAAAAAAGTGTGTTAAATGTCCTAGTCTGGTGCCTCAAAACACGAAAACATCAAACAAAAAGACCAATGCTACTTTCTTGACAAAACAGAGTCAAGGATACGGAACAGGTCGAAGGCTCCGGCCACGTAGATGATAGTGTCTCCTGGCTGTGGTTCTTTCCCTGATGCAAACTGGATGATCTTCTGAGACGTCTGTAGGAACTGCGAGACACCAGTCCAGGGACTGTGACCTTTTGGCCCCTGGGAAAACACACACCACACACATTTCCTTTTCAGGCTCCAGGAGTGGGTTTGGACAACACACAGAATGCAGCTGCAGGCAATTTGCTAGCCTTAATTTGCTAGCAAGTATCACAACTCTTAGCAGCTTGGACCTTCTACATTCCTGGCACCAAGTATTTGTGCAATTCACAAAAGCCCTTTTTGCTTTGTCAAACACAGTCTAAATCGTCCCCTCACAGCCAGCTAAGGAGATGCCGAGAAGAAAGCTCAGGAAGGAGGAAGGCAACAGGGCAGTCTCGGATTTCTAGGAGAGGCAAGGCTTACTAAGGGAGACAACACACAACCTACTTACGCTCTTCTCAAGCCTTAAGGCAGCCTACCCATTCACCTGGCCGATGGCATGCCAAGCTGGGAAGGGATCACCCAGAGCTCCAGCAAAGGCCAGATCCCAGCGCTGGTGAAACCGAAGACGGAGCTTTGTCCCCGCCATGTGGCAGTTTTGGAAACAGCCACTGAGTCACCTGCTCTGGCCCTGCTTCGCTCCCCTAAAGCTAGCTCTACAAGACTTGAAAGAACAAAGACAACTCAGCCGAGACCAGGGCAAGCCATACAAAGGGCAGCATGCAGAAGGGGGGCTCAGCTGACAGTGGTCATGCAGGGTACCTGGTCCCCAGATATTCTCCCCAGATCCAAGCACCAGGAAACAGCCATGCTGGAGCAACAGACCCTGTAAAACCTGCTCAAAAAACCCAACATGGTGGAGAACAAAGCAGGTGATTCAGCCTGGTCAGCAAACCCCCTAGGAGTGAAAAAGACTTACTCAAGCTGTAGGTCCAGGTGCTCGTTAATCAGGGACAATCCAACACCCAGGAAAAAAACAAGGGGCTGACACCTCTTTAGAGGTAGCCCAAGATGTGAGCTGGACACAATGGCAGAGAACCCCAGGAGGGCTGCTCTGCTACTTGAAGAGCAGGCATGTGAATTCTGCAGTACAGCATGCTAGCTACATGCCTGCTACATAAACGCTTCCCAGACCTAATGCAACACCTTTAAAAACATGAGCACTAAAAGGAGCATCCACAGAGGCTGTCCCTAGGCTGGAACTGCAGGCACTTGGATCCCAAAGGAAGCGGCAATAAAGAATTTACAAGCAAGCCAGAAAAACAGCAAAGGCTCAATGGGCGCAGCAGCTCTACAGCGCTGCTGAAGGACAGTTCATTTGTGGGCCCTGTGCGGCCACACCTGCCTATTTCACTGACTACAGTAGCTACTTTACGGGGGCAGCAGACATTTACTGAGGTTACTGCTAAATGTGGGGGAAAAAACAAGCCTGCAACACAGGCCAGAAAGCACATTTGAAATCCTTCTCAAACAGGACAACAACCAGACGTCCACGACCAGAACTCACATTACCTTCCCAAAGTTGTCAGTGTGCTTCCGATAGTCTAGGTCCTCATCCTGAAGGGAGATAAAGAGTCAAAATGTTTAAGCACTCACATAGCTCATCCAACCAAGAATATGCTTCTGTGTGGCAGAAGTGCTGGGAAGTCCAGGCTCAGACTGCACACTATTGATCCCTGGCACTGAATGCTGACAAACTAGTTAATATCTAAACCAGAGTCACGTCCCAGCATGAGTCAGATGAAACGTGTCCTTATCTGATCCCAGCCTGGCACCACACGGTGACAGCGGTTCTTGCCCAACCTGCAGACCTGACAGCATCGCACACCTACGTCATCCCTCAACTACGCAAGCCCCTAACAGGACAGCGTCCCTTCTTCTTCCAAAGTACTCCACTAGAGACGGGCTCAGATCTCTGCAGACACCTAGTAGCACTGTGCCAGATCTTGGTGTGAACTTGTATATTTCGGCTAAGCCAATCCAACAGCTTAGCACACTGAAAGATCTCCCTCTACCCCTGAATTCTCTTGTGGGTCCCTTGTCTTGTCCCTGCTGTTATCTAGGTGATTCCATTCACTGGATTGCTTGTTTACCAAGTCAATTCAACCCATTAACCAACATAGAACTACTTCCTTTATTTTCCTTTGCTTAGGTTAGCTATAACCAGGTGGTGAGCTGAGGAGACTCAAGAAAGGTCTGATAAGACTAGAGACAGCAGAAGGCAGAAGCATGCAGCTCAGAGGGAAGGAAGAGGACTTTCCAATTCTGGCAGCTCTGAGCTGATAGATCATTGTGGCTGCACTATGTAGTTTCACCCTCAGAGAAGTCATAGGCTAGCCTGTAATTCCCATAACGTTCCTAAAGCCCAGACCAATCATAAGGGATTGAAGCTTTTATCCCCCCACATCTTTCCAAAGCAGCATGGGCTGAGATCACACTGTGATCTCAGACAGGCTTAAGCAAACATAAGCAGGGTGTTTTGCTGCCACTGCCCATAATCAGCTTGCCAGTTCTCCGTGCACCTAGGAGCCAGACCTAGGAGCTCCACTGCGATTTGGGACAGCAAAAGGACAGAGCTGGCATATGCCCTGAACTCCAAACTCCCACCCAAAGCCCTCTGACTCACTATGTTGCTGTGGTGAGCCTTAGTCATGAGCAGCATGCGGCCAACGAGGTCGGTAGTGGACACACCTTGGGTGCGTTTGCATTCCCTGCAGGGAGACAAGCAAAGGATAAAGCAGAAGCCACAGGAGCATATGTCTCTTCTCTTCCCACCATTACCACAGGAACACCTGTGACACCTGACAAATCCAAACCAGGGACAGTCCTGAGAAAGTCTTCCTTCTACCTGCTCTTGATACAAAGTATAGTGTTCATTTGCTGAACCTCTACAGCTTCTTCACGCCACAGCAACTGCTCATATGAGGAAAACTTACCTTGCACAGACTTCCCAACAGAGCCAGCTCCCAGTGAGGCTTCAAGACCAGAACTAGCATTTGCCAGGAACAGGAAGGCCCTGCCAGTCAATTGCTAGTCTGCAACACTTCCCAGAAGCCAAAATGGTGGGAGCAACTGAAGCTCTGACACACGTTACAGCAAAATTAAAGTGTGACCTGAAGATAGCTGTGTTTCATCTGACTTCCCTTCAGGGCACGAAATTCCAGAAACTCTGCCCAAAACAGGATAAGAAGGTAAGCAGCAACGGGTTACCTGTATCGCCCCGCTGTCTTCACTTCCTCATAGGTATCCTTGCCATCTATCGTTAAAGTGATGTCATCTGCAGAGAGAGAAAAGCCTCAGAACTGCACCCCAAGCCTTGCTGCACAAAAGCTGTCTTAGAATGACAGTAGTAGCTGAACAGGTCCAACACATAAGCCAGGCTAGAACTCCTGCACTCCAAAACTCTGTGCAATCACATGGGATACATCCTGCATCCCATGGAAACGTCAGGGGTTTGCACAAGACAACCCTATCTATGGAGACAAGCATACTGCTGGATGCTAAACACCACTAACCATCTGGTCCACTGTTTTTTAGGTAGCCCAGAAAATCTGAGCTGGTTGCCCTTGCAGTGAATCCAGCAGCAGGCACGACTGAATTATTGCCTGAATGACAATAAACAGCCACCATCAGTCTCAGTATTAAAAAGCAGCTTAACCTTAACTTCTCTAGGACTGGTTTTAGCCGTTGGTTCACATTACAACTTTTTCAGTCAATTAAACAGTCCTCCAACAGCCAGTTCTTCCCGTCAGTGATGGCACTTCTACAGTGACATCAAGCTACCCTTCTACAGACTTAATTCCGGTTCATCTTTGGCATGGTTCCCAACTCACGCTACAAAACCACCTCTCATCTACTTTTAGTGGTAGTACAAAATCTTCACAAGTGAAAACCTAAGCTGGTTTTCATTTGGCAAAACAACCAGTTTACAGTGCAGGCACTGGCAGCTCACGAGTGCTCTCTCTCACACAGTTGGGTGGCACGCTCAGGGAAGCTGAGGAGTTCTTCCCAAACCCCGCACCCTCACCTCAGGGGACAGGGACAGGAGAAGAGAACATACTGCAAGCACAGCTCCATGTGCCAGGAGAGAGGCAGAAACAGCCTGTCTGTCACCTCCCGATTAAGCTCAGCTATTTCAAAACTTATCTTTTGCATAAACACAGCCCGGCAAAACTGCAGCGTGCAAGGGTATTATTCAGGTAGAAGTACCGAATGATTTGGCAGAGGGGATAAACGCAGGGAAACTGGAGCAAAGGCCATGAGCGCTTCTCTGTTGCCGTAATCCCTCACCAAGTCTAGTAAGGGGTCACATACCCCAAACACACATTCAGGGCAGGCAATTAAGTTAACAAGGAATTTGATAATTACCCTGTACATGTGAAAAAGCTTATCTTACAGAAGATTAATGATTTATTTACATTTAATGAAATACTTGGCTTATCGATAGCAGGTAGCTGGGATCAGATGAGGAAGGATACGTAAAATGAGTGCAAAGACCACTCCTGATAAAACACCTTCAGAGGGGCAGGGAGGAAGGGCTGAGGCTGAATGAACGCAAGCAGCAGTCCCAGGAAGGGACAGAGTACACAGGTTTTATTTCCTCAGAACACTGGTTCTCTTCAGTGACTATAAACTGAAAAGCATTCATAACAAGAACTAGGTCTCTGACCACACGGTCAGCTAAGCCCTTGAACAGCTTATCGGCTGGATAAAGAGAGAGAAGCTTTTCTCATCTGATCTCATCCCAGGATAAGTAGACATAAACATGATTGTATTTCTGCACACTTACCTTTTTAACAGCGTTTTTCACATTTAAGTTTTGTAAATTACTATTTCCCCCATGCACAATTTCTGCTGGTGCTAAGGGCAACCTCAGGATAATTGTCAGACAATGCGTTTCATCTCTGTAAGTGAAAGGGATGCTTAAAACCAAGGGATCTGGCCACTCTTAGGGTGCCTAGCACACAGACGTATTTCTCCAGAATAGCAGAACAGGAGTAGCCATACTGCCCAGCGCAGGTGTTGGTAAGGCAAACCTCTGTACGCGAGGTATCCCCTGATGCCTAGCACTAGCCAGAACGTTCCTCCGTTTGCAGCAGGGAAACCAAGAGCAGGCAAGCCCCGGAGGGCCTGTGTTAATACAACTATCGCCTCAGAATACCACTCACCACCGTGCACACAGAAGTCACAGTTATATTTGTCCAGGGTTTCCAGTGTGGTGACATAGGGAGCTCCTGGAGCAATCTCATCCACCCATTTGATGGCTTGCACCATTTTGTATCTCTCCTCCTGCGTAAAGACAGGGGGGCCCTTGTGCTTGGCAATCTCCTCTGGGCGAGAAACAGAAAAACCCAGTTAGAAATACGTACTACAGCTACAAAGACTCTCACCTACAGGAGCCTCACTCATTTCACGGGTAGGTGAACTTCACTGCGGGCCTAAACTCTGCTTGGAATTGGTTTGTGGTAGAGAAGGAAGGCCCAGCTAGATCAGAAAATATTTTAATTCATTTGCATTTCCTAAATGCTAACAAGGGCCCTGGAATTCACTCGGAAGGCAAAATGTCTCAGTGCCTCCCTGTACCCAGATACTTCCTACTGGGGGGATTACCTGGGCTTCCTGGCAGCCCCTGAGGGGAAATTCCCCTTTTAAACAATAGCTTCATGCTACGCTTGGTTCATGCTAGAAAATACGCATCCATAAACCAATTTAAAATCCATCTTCACATGCAAGAACTAGTTCCTAGCACTGAACTTTCAGATGGGCTTGAAACGAGTTTTCTCCACACAGTAATCTGTTTTGGAATATCAGCTCTGCAGTTTGCACCAGCAAAACCAGACTGATTTTCAACTAGTTCAACTGTTTTTCCAGCACAGAATAGAGATCACCCCTCAAACGAAGCCTGCAAGCTCTGAACTACCTAACCCTCACTCCGGAAAGCGTGAAAGGGGTGACTCCACTCCCTTACCCAGGGAAGGTACACTTCTCTTTTGAAGGCTGCTGCTCCTTGAGCAGATGCAGGAAGAAGCCTGCTTTGTATCAGGATATCTTGGTTCTCTCGAGGCTGACGTTGCTGAGCGATTCTAGAGGCAGCAGGAGGTGAAAAGCTGAGAAAACCTCTTACCATCTGTGTGGACTCCAACAATCAGATAATCTCCCATGGCCCGAGCCTGGCGTAGCTGGTTCGAGTGGCCATAGTGCACCATGTCATAGCTAGAAAGACAACGGCCCCGGTTCAGTCTGGGGACACAAGGGTGCACTTGGCTGGGAAGTTGCAGGAGGTGACCTTCCCCTTTGCAGCCTTAGTGGGAGACCTTCCCCCCGGGCTCAAAGGTTTAAAGTCTCTCTGCTATCTGTTATTGTGCAGCCACTGACACGTTTACAGCTGGTTCATCGGGGAAGGCAGCAGCACTCCGTCACGCTGCAATAAACCTGTCCCAGCCGCGGCCGGAGCGCGGGGTGCCTGCCGGGGCCGGGC